ACGTATATACAATATTATTAGTTTTTCCTCGCTGTTCCTCCACCTTGCTACCCCGTACTGTCTCTCCCACGTCGTTGCGTCATCGTCACCTTTTCCTCTGGGTGTTCTACGACTATGCGGTACCTCCCCGTGTACCACAGCTCCACACGCGCCGTGTCCTCTTGCCTCTATTTACTTATGATTCCGTTCAGCCCCCTCCCACCTAGCAAACCCACCCGCCCAGCCAGCCCTTCTCGCCTCTCGTCGCACTAGCGTGTTTGCCCAATAGTCGGCGGTTAAATCCTTTGTCGTTGTCCTCCAACACCACTGGTATATCCGGTTCTTCTTCGCTTGCCCCGTTTCCTATCCGTTTTTCCCTTTCTTTTCTGATCCGCGCAGGAGAGTATGGGCTTCCGTGCTACCGTCCTCTACTTTACAGGAGTAGGCACAGCGATTTCTTTTTCTGCTTCATCTTCTTTTCTGGCGACTTTTTGTTGATTTGCCGAACCAGGTCGTAGAAGATCTGCAAGCATCGGTGGGACATCGGTTAGTAAGACTTGTTTGCATGTGGAAAGGTTGAAATGGGTCATCCGGGGAAAGGTCTAGTCCTCTTTATGTCCTGCAGATACGTCAAAGTATCGTTTTGAAGAAGATTGTTCTTTCGATTCAATTTCGTTTAAAGCATCATTGTAGGTATATTTATATTCTAAAGAATAATGCTGAAGGTTCTGTACACTTGGAAATGATTTTGGACATAAAGAGGTTCACTGGTGGAGACAAAAAAGCGGAGTGTCCACTCGAACGTGCAGGGGAGGAGGATGAGCATGTGTGTTCACTCTTGATCTTTCTCAATATTCAACTATCGGAACTATTTTATAATGAAAAGCCCAGACGTTAAATCATTCACGTGGCCCAGAAAAGTCGTAATAATTTTTATTTCCTCGAGTTTGCTCCCGTTTCTATCGAGACATCTTATTTAACCCTTTGCACTCCACAAGTTTTTCATTAAATATTCTTTCAAACTGACTTAACGAGAAATCGCGCATAAATTAAAGAAAGAGGCTGTTTTATTTTAATATTTTACACGTCGATGCATTGTACGAAGTTTAATATCAAATGTCAAACTCTATAATTTTGCTGTGTCAAATCAATTTGCGACTGAGAGGCGCCTACGGAGTGCAAAGGGTTCAGATTCACTTTTGGAAGTTATTTCCGAAGAATCGCGAATGCAAAGATAACGTTTCACAGAGCTTCATAGTGAAATGTAAATAAAATTTATTTGGAATAATGGCTCTACGTTTCGGCTCGGATGTTTCTATTCATCCGCGGCAGACAGCCATGCCTATCGATCTACCGTGGATCCCGATTGTCCCCCGAACGAACGGCTAAAGTGGACCTTTAATTACGCCCAATGGAACTTTCAATTTTTCCCTTTATTTGTGGCAAATAATTACCGCGTCGTGCTTTAAACAACGGTCGGGCGCAATGTATAGGTCCTATTCAAAGCCGCCAAGAAAACCGTGCTCCAATTACACAGCTGAATTGCACTTTCGGGGGACGGGAATGACAAAAGTAATCAAATGCAGAAACGAGAGATGGATCCTCGGTTCAGGCAACGCGGGGAGCTCATTCAGAACCATTTCCCCGTATGGTTCCGCGAAGATTCTTCTGTTTTAATTCTGTTCCGCGAGGGACACCCTCGTAGAAGAAGACAGTCCCGGCACGGTGAATATTATAGAAGTTTCTGGAACGGGACAATTTCAAGAAAACGAGTTTCTGTAGAATCTCTTGAGAAGTCGGGAATCAACGTAAACATTCTCGATGTGAGAGCTCTGCAATCTGAGAACTGCGAATCTAATATCGGGTCACTGATATTTTAACGGTATTTCCGACTATTATCACCTTTGAGGAAAATTGTACCGGAAGAAAACATTCGAAACTAAATGAAGAATACGTTCGTATAGAAATGAGTGTCTTTCTCAAAAATAGAAAACTGAATATTGACTTAGGTAATTTATAGACATTACGAAAAGTTCAGTCGAATTTCGAATTGAATAAAAATTTCATTATATTGTTGGTGTCAACAACCTCTTGTCCTACGAGTTAAACTCGTGAAGATTTTCAACATGATTCAACAAATATATATATATATATTACTCGGAAATCAAAGCAAATATTATTCCTCTGTAATCAACTATTATACTTAACCCCTTGGCGTACTATTTACTTCCGTTACTAAGCTCGTGTAATATTTTATTATCGACAATTTGTAATACAACAAAATTTTCCATTCTACTTCAGGTGGAAATTTCATTTGAATATAATACATTGATAATAGCAAAACAATTGTTTGATCCGTGGGTAATGAACAACACTGATTCTTGTTAACCCTCTGTGGGCCGAATTTTTGTTCATGATTATAACAAAATCTATGCAGTACAAAATTAATAAATATCCACATATGAACACAAATTAACCATGTATTCAATACTTTCAATAATTTCATCAAACGAATATATTTTATAACTTTCAAGTTACAATGGCGTTAAACTTTCACGCCTGAGTGTATGAAAGTTTAAGTTAACCGATTACTTAATTTTATTCACCACTTTGGGTGCAGAATGAAATAAATTAACAAGATGCCAATGTACTGATATGTGATTTCAAAGTTACATGGTCCTACAGAGGGTTAAATTAGTTTAGAAATCTTCATCATGAGTCTCACTCGTCATTGTACATCAAGGAGTTAAAGAGAAATCTCCAAAATCCATGTACGCCATCGTATCGCGATATTCCAGTCAACAAAATTTTCCATTCTACTTCAGGTGGAAATTTCATTGGAATATAATACATTGATAATAGCAAAACAGTTGTTTGATCCGTGGGTAATAAACAACATTGATTCTTGTTAAATTAATTTAGAAATCTTCATCGTGAGTCTCACTCGTCATTGTACGGCAAGGGGTTAAAAGGAAATGTAGGCGTAACATATGCTTAGAATTTGTCTTTTTTTCCACTAAATTATTAACGACAAAGCAGCCGTATCGACCAGAGTTGAGAAATATACCATAGGCCAAGGGGTTGAAGAATTTTTGGCGGGGTAGTTGGTCACAGACAGAAATCGTTATCCGTGAGCCACGCGTTTACATGCCAGAACCTGAGAATCCCGAGTGGCCTGGAGTGCAACTCCCACACTTAACGATTGCATACCCACATTCAATTAGAATATCTCGGCCTTCGTAACGGTCTTGAACTCCCACACGTCACGCTAATTGTCGAACAACAATGGCCTCCTGTACAGACTACTGTTATTTTGTAACAGCACGTTAGTGGTTTTTACAAGCTCACCGAGGAATGACTCTGCGTGGTTCGAGGATGATGGATCGTGCAGGTGAAACAAGGATTCTTTGCCGGTGTATCTGGAAATCTGGGATTAACTTGTATCGCGGAATTCAATTGAATTCTACGGTAAGACATTTCGAAGCACGTGCCACAACAATATAGATGCTTTTATTGTCAACAGTAAAAATTATCTTTAAACTTTTAGCGTTGCATGTGCTGATTCTCTAGTGTTCGTTTAACCGAGGTTACTGTGTTTATTCCATTTTATTTCAACGTTCGTAACTCGAATGATAAAACAAAGTGGAATATATTGTTATAGAATAACAACTGGAAACAAGAATGTTTCTAACAAAGTATTTATCGGATTAAGTGATATTCCATTCTCTATTGTCATGTCAGACCTAGCTCCAGCAAAGGTTCGTGATCTCTTCCAATTTCGGTGTCTGTCCCATGCTGTTTCTGCTAATGACTAACAGACAAAGGGCCAAAGCACGTCCACTACTCACATCGATAACATTAATTTTGGCTTTGGCAGAGGTCTCCATGAACGCGCAGTTAAATTGTCGGGCAAGGTTGACGCCCTGCTCTTTGCCCACTACCCTCTCGTCCTCCAAGTCGCACTTGTTGCCTACCAACACCATCGGCACGTCATCTGTGTCCTTTACCCGCAGGATTTGTTCCCTGAGGTCCTGCAGGTCGTTGAACGTTGACTGTGCCGTTATCGAATACACTAACACGAAGCCCTGACCGTTTTTCATATAAAGGTCCCTCATGGCTGTGAATTGTTCCTAAACAAACAAATCGTTTTCCCATTATCTTCATGGCCGTCTAAATCAATAAACAAATCTATTTAAACATAACTATATCCTCTGTGTCTATTACGAAACAACTGTCTATTTGTTCTAATTAACCCTTTGCGGACGAATGTCGACATTTCGAGATGAAGTTTTCATGTTTCGAAGATTGATTCATAAACAATAATTTAATTACTCAAACACCAAGAGATCAGCACGTAGTTTTTTTTTTATTAATCAAGCAATTAACCCTTAGCACTCTGGATGGTTTTGTAATCTATCAGAAACTAATTTTTATAGTATCCCTAGGGAAAATGAAAAATGCTATAACATTTCTTAGATCTTTTATTTTCCTTCTTAGTGCAAAATTTTGATGTGTAAAAAATCGAATAATTGCAGGGTAGTTTCTTTATAATTCATTGAAATATCTAATATTATCCTTGGTGCAATATTGGAGCCTACAGAGTTCAAAGGGTTAATATATAATTTAGCTACATTTGCTGAATATTTTGTATATTTCAAAGAATCTTCGTCCGCAAAGGATTAATATATAATTGAACAACTGATATCAATTGTATTAATAATCTTTATCAAATTACAATGAATTCTCTAGAATTTCTATTTTTCATCGGCTTATTAGATGCCGAGATATTTTCTATACAACTGAATATGCGTGAAAAACTCACCGTTCCGGCTGTGTCTAGGATTTCTAACATACATTGTTGACCGTCAACCTCGACCTGTTTCCGGTAACTGTCCTCGATCGTCGGGTCGTACTTCTCCACGAAGATTCCTTGGACGAACTGGACAGTGAGGGCGGACTTGCCTACACCTCCACTGCCCAACACCACTATTTTATATTCACGCATTTCCTTGCCCTAATTCCCTGTGCGCCTGTGGTCACAGCCGAGAGGGGTCACCGAATCCGCCACGTTTTGCTCCCCTTTGCTCTCAGTTGAACGGACCTGAAACCGGACCACCAACTCTTTAACTCGCAGTTCTTGTCCTATTTCGAAACAAAACATTGACAAATTGTCTAAATACTTTTCTTCCCATTTCAATCGCTCGCTTCCTTTGTTAATTGGTTCTCGATCGATTTCTTTGAAATTAGGAATTCAAAATATCTGCGAACATTCGCTTAAACAGTTTGGATAGTTATGAATACTTTACAGCGATAGATCCAGGTTGTTTTGTAATCTATGAGAAATTGCAAATAATTTTTATAGTATTCCTAGCGAAAATTAGAAATGCAACATTTCTTCGATCTTTTATTTTCCTTAGTACAAAATTCGGATGTGTGGAAAATAATAATTTTAGGGTAGTTTCTTTAAGATTCATAAATATTTAATATTATAACCGCTGCAATATTGGAGCCTACAGAGTTCAAAGGGTTAACCCTTTGCACTCGACAATATTTTTCATTAAAAATATTCATTACTTTCTAACTAAATATTAACGATATTTTTCGCAACTAACACAATTATCTTCTATAAATTAAGAGACAGAACTATTATACTTGAATGTTTTATGTGTTGATACATTACACAAGGTTTAATATCGAATTGAAAATTTTATAATTTTATAAGTTTTTTTCTCGAGTGCAAAGGGTTAAAAGAAGTTGCGAACCACTGTCACTATTTTCAGTTCCCTTATCTATTTGCCAGGAAATTACTCAATCTAATTCTATCGTAATATCCGTGGCAGCATAAATTAGAACATATTTACATGTATTACGCGGTGAATTAGTTCGAATGAATTTTAATTCGTCCTGGAACGCATCGAAATACAAAACCTCGGTCCCGCGTATCTATTAAAAGGCAGCCAAACGAGAGATATCACGGAAGGAAAATACCACGGGTCTACAGTATTTTCAACGTTGTTTACACTCGCGCGTCGTTCTTTTACTTCTTTTTGCTATCTTACAAAATGGCGTGATTCACGTCACGCGGCAATCAATCGTACGCGATTTGAAAAACATGGTTCCACGTCAGCGTCGGCGGACTCGTTAAAAAACCGTGCGACGTTTAATCGAAGAAACTCGAAGGGCCATCGTCCCGGCGCGATTCCCGATTTGAAATTGAACATTTAATACGGCGGAGGGAAAATTCTCGAGGCCCCGCCGGAATTTTTAATGGAATTTTCGTCTGCCTGTCGCACCCGTTCGAAATTGAAATCGCGAAATTTCATTCATGACGATCGAATAAAAAACACGCGCGCACAGAGAACCGAGCGCGAGCCCCGCGGAATATTTTTTCTCCGACTCCATTGTCCTCGGCTGGAAAACTTTTTCCGTTGGACCTTTGTTTGTAAATGAAGGATGGCTGCCCGAGGGTTCACCCAGTTTTTTTTTTTATTTTCCCGGGGAGCCGTGAAACAATAAAACACGTCGCGTTTCCGGCTCCATTTCCGAAATGGATGATAATAATTTCGTTTGCGCAGTCACTCCGTGCGCGAGTTATTCGATCGTAACGTAAATGCTATTCGGATGTGTTCAACATTTTTCGTGCGGCAGCGACACAACAATGCTGCGTTTCGATTCACCGGAAGCGGTTCCTTGTTCGTCACAATTGTCCACATTTGCGATTTCGTCGTCGATTGAACTCTTGGAATTTACATGATCGTAGTTGCAAGTAAGAAAGTATGATATTTACGTCGCTGTCTAATATATTCGACGATCGGCCAACGTTTCCATTGTCGAATGGAGATGCACGGTAAGGTTGCAGCTTTCCGAGATTTATGTTTTCCGGGACGTCCATTGAAATATTACGGGACATCACGATTTCGGAGAGAGGAGCCGAACTCGCGGAAACACGATCGCGGGATAGGAAAATCCGCTTATCACGTTTCTTCGTTCGTTCTCCGTCGTTTAAACTAGCGCACTGCGCCTGCCTCGTGCACGCAATGCGCCATTTGTCTTAAAAACTAGACAAACTTGCCGGATTGCGGCAACGAGATCTAATACAGTGATAATCACGGCGTGCACACCGGGTGTCTTGTGATTTCTTGTACACCGTAACGTCACTGTCTCGCGAATTAATTCTCTCTAATAGGACACCGTTGCTACTGTGAGGAACTACGCAACGAATCTCGATTTTGGAAACCTGTTACTTTCACCAATGATTATTTATAACACATTCTAAAATTATCAGAATAATTTTATAATCAAGATGCAGAAATTTGAAAGAAGTTCGAGCAAATGTTCCCATTAGCGAGGATAAGTTGATTTCTTACTTTCAAATTCTTTCTGATCAAATTCCCAGTGCTATTCACTGAAATGATTAATTCCATCAAATCATCATATTCCATTGCTCCCGAGTCAAGTTCCCAAGTGCCCGTAATCGCGAAATCACTCGATGAAGGGGTTAGCGTAACGTCAAGGAACCTCTCTCCTCTTCCGAACTTTTCCAATTCAAGTAGTAGAAGCTGCTGCGCGAAACACAAGTAAGAATTTTAATTAATTTTTTCCGCGGGGATTGCAGGTGCGAGATCGCACTGGTCTCCGAAAATAATTACAAAGAAACGAGCGTGAAAGCGGAGGAATTTTCGAGAGAGAGAGAGAGTGAGCGGAAGAAAAAC